AAAAAAAAAAAAAAAAAAAAAAAAAAAAAAAAAAAAAAAAAAAAAAAAAAAAAAAAAAAAAAAAAAAAAAAATTTTTTAAAGAAATTAGAAATGACGCGAATTATTTCAAACCTTAGACAAGCCGTATTTTCCGTCTACAATAACTAAACCATCAAACAAAATATCTGGAGCAATTTTCAAGCAGATGAGCTCAGTCGAGTTATCCTTGGATCTTTTAATGCAGTATGTATTCTGAGTGTCGTAAAAATATTGTTCGCCTTCTTTCTCCTCTAATAAATCTATATTCTTTTTTATGACTACCGCACGTCCACCTTTAAATATGTTGTAAAATTTCGTCACATATTTAATCGTAAATACTAGGGAGGAATATTTTGAGAGATCGATATTTTCTTGAGGATGAACATCTAACTGTAAAGATTTATTTTGGGTTGAACTTAATTCTTCGAAATTAATCAAGTTGGTAGTAGCGTCATACAAAGGATTACCAAAGCATCTAAGAAATGATATTTCTTTTGGTACATCAATTATCGCGATCTATGTAGGAAAATTTTTTAAATATTAAAATATTCTAGAATAGTGAACACGGATGTAATTTTATTAAACGAGCATACCTCAAGTGACCATTCTCCTGAAAACATATGAAATAACGTATCATTAATAACAACTGATATTAATTCGTTCCATCTTCTACAGGCACGGCGTAATTTAAAAAGGTCTCGAAAGTTACTAATGTACAAAGGACGGTGGTAAATGTCGTGTACATATTTTGACGTGACAAAAAATCCGAATTAAAGTACCTTTGATCTATTAAAAAAATTCGAAAAATGTTAATCAGGATCTCATTAGGAAAATCCATTTCCTCTCTTTTTACACATACTCTCAGGCAGAAAGCATAAAAAAAAAAAAAAATCATTTTCCTTATTCTAGCAATGTTTACGTGTCACCAGCTTTGTCAAACATACGTAATTGTGCAGGTCGTCCTCAGATTTCTGAGAACCGTGTACGTACTATACTTGATACTGAAAATAAGCGATCTGATTCAACTACATGAACATATTAATATACGTATTATTATTGCACATTGAGGGGAACGTCAGTAATGATAAAATTTCACGTTTTAGGGATATCAAATCTCAAGTTTGCATGTTATCGGAAGTATATTCTCAAAGGTATATTACTGTGCTGAAAAAAGTGATGTGATTATTAGTTAAATAAGCGTTTATTTTAAAAAATTTGAACACATAAATGGAGGAAATCGTTTATTTAATTCGGATGGCAGTAGAAAAGGCAAAATGCAAAAATTGTTAGCTGCAAAAAAAAAAAAAGAAAGAAAGAAAGAAACCATTCTACCTAGAAAGTTTCCTTTTGGAATTGGGGTGTACTTTTTAGACAAGTAATTTTATGGATACCCTGGTAAAGTTATTCAGATGCAAATTCTTGTTAACAAATTTCTGACTTAATGAACTTTATTTCAATAGATAGATGGCTCAATAAGTTTAGAACATTAAATATTTTTATGCTACATTATTTTAGATTATGCATCAATTGGCCAACTTCCAGTTTACATGTGGCAACCAATATAGACCCAAATTTTCACAAGAAAAAAAGGGGGTGATTAAATTAGCTGAAAAGTGATTTCTTTTTATCAATCAGTCGGTTTTTATTAAACTTGATAACGTGAAGATTAAGTGACTATTGTTATTATCATTGAATAAGAAATAAATTGTATTAGAGGTAAGTGAAAATTAATTTATAGTAATTCTCGATCATAATACATGTATTTTTTAACCTTTATTCTACTATTTATTATTTAGAAAACATAAGTGGAAATAAATCCGAGCAAGTTTAATAAAAATAAGCGTAAAAACTATCGTCAAAGTCTTCATGACATATTTTGTAATTGTTAATAGTGTCGAAGATAAGCCTGACGTACCGTACAAAATCAACCTTTCGGATTGAACAGTTTTTATTTTCGCTCAAATTTCTAGAATGTCCCAATAGCTACCAGAGGCATGGACATTATAGAATAAAAAGAATAAAGTAAATAATACTACCTAATATCTCAAATTAATGCGTTTCTAGCATTATGCATACATAGAGTGCTAATTATATCACGGCATGGATATTAAATAATGAATTCTTTTATGTGTCATTTCAAGAAGTAAAAAGATATTGTTTAACTTGCGTAAATTCAAATTGCAATATATTTACAGATCAAACTTAGGATTCAAAGATAAGACGATCTGTAAACTTTTTTGAAGAATTCTATTCGATTGATTGTGAAATGTAGTCGTAAATTTAATTTTGACATAATTATTATGATCATTGTCATTTTCTATTATCGTTAGCGTATTTTCGCTACGTCATCTTATTGTTTGAGGCGGAATTATAGCACGATCCTTATATCGTGACGGAATGTCACGTAAGGGTGATTAAATTAGCAAAGGGAACCAAAATAACATAGAATGGAGTGGGAAAGATCAATATTGGAAGTGTGTATAGGGAACTTGTGCATATTCTTTATCGAAAATCCTTTCTTAATGACTCGGCATCAGCTACAATTCTTATCTGTTCATTTTTCATGATCTTTTTTTTTTTTAAAAAAAAAAAAAATAAATAAAATTCGTTCGCAAAAATAATTGCTAATTAGGAAATATTTGTTATAATTAAATCACTTTTAATAGTATGTAAATATTGATTTAGCAACAGATATAGAAAAAAAATATATATATATACGAAATCTATATGATGAGACGACTTACAACATTGGCTAAATATATCTTAGGTAATTTATTATTTCTTCTAGTTGCAACAAGATTTGTCTAGAACTATTATGTCCTAGTTCAGGTCCTTGATGCTCCATCTATAAAAAAAGTGAACCGTAAATGTAAGATAGAATAAAGGTATTTTTTAAAGAACTTGGAAATACAGTAACTATTACAGACCTTAGATATGCCGTACTTTCCTTCTACAATGACCAAACCTTTAAACCAATCTTTTGGTGCAATTTTCCAGTACATAAGCACACTCAAATTATCACGAGATACTTTGATGCAATATGTTTTCTGAGAGTCGTGAAAAATTTTTTCACCTTCCCTTTCCTCAAACACATCAATGACTTTTCTTATAGTTACCACACTTCCATCTATGTGTTTTTCACCTTTCCTTTTATATTTGCTTGTAAATTTAAGAGATGAATGCTTTGAGAAATCAATATTTACTTGAGAATGGCGATCCGATTTTAATATTTCGGTTTGTGTTAAACTTGAGTTCACCAAACGAATCGAGTTAGTAGTGGCGTCGTATATGGGGGTAACAGAGCATTTGTAGAATACATTTTCATGCAATAATTCAGGAATCTTGATCTGTAAAAAAATATTTTTGGATTATAAAATATTTCTAATTGTATACTAAATAATTTTATCAAAATCAATATACAGTACCTCTATTGACCATTCTCCTGAGAACATATGAGCAAATGCATCATTAACAATAACCGGTATTAATTCGTTCCATTTTCTACAAGTGCGACGTAATTTAAAAAGATCTTGAAAGTTACTGGTATTTTTTTTTTAAAAAAAAAATAGAGTCAGAATTAAGTCATGAAAGTCATAAATACATAATTCGACGTGAATAAAATAGGATTTTGGCAATGTACCTTTGATCTGTTAAAAAAGTCATAAAAATTATAATCCAGATCTCATTAGGAAAGTCCATCCTCGCCTGTTTACTTCTATTCCCAGAAATTCTACCATTAAGCATCTAAGAAACAAACGATTGTTTGGAATAATGTGAGTGTAATGCATTATAAAAGGGCTGAACTTTCGTATCATGTTGACTTCCCATATCCAGATCTGCGAGGCAATGTTTGTGTACCTACAACAGCAACCAAGCAGATTATATACGTATTCTATTTCAGAACCACCATCGAATCATTGAAACAAGAATATTAGCCTGCTGGCGACCACATAGGCAAATTAGAACATCACCCGAAATAATTAATATCTCGCTAATGTAGAAATATTATAATAATAAAAAATAATATCATCCATATATAACTAGATATCTATATTTTTTGAAACATAAGCATCATATTTTTTATAATCATATATTTATATTTACAAAAGAAAAGAATCAATCATAATTTTTTATTTATGTAGAAAAAATGTGTATGGATCTAGACTTACTTATGTAACCTATATTTATATTATAACACTTTGAAATATAATATACTGTATATAGCGTAACAACATAAAATTACAATGGAAAGTATGAAATAATAGATTTCATAAATATTTGGTTTATTATAATTTCTTTTTGTTTATTAATATTTCAAAAAGGACATAAGCCATTTAAATATACAGTATTTTACGAGCTTTACATATAATATTAATGACAATTGTCATTTATTTTAAAAAGCAATTCACACTTTTGAATATTTTTTGTTTAAAAATTATTATCTGCAATATTATTTTATTCATAAAATATGAATTGTAAAAATCTAATTTTTAAAAATATCAAAGTATTACTTATTATAAAAAGCAATGATAATTACACAATAATAATTAACTAAATAATAATAATAATAATAATAACTATATTAAAATTTTATTAATTTTATCAGAAAAAATAAATGATACAAATTAATTTTAATAGAAAAATTAAATTATGTAAATATTATATAAATCATTAGTTATAAACTATTACAGTAATATCTTTAATTAAAAGAATATTTATCTAAATTGCTAATAAAACAAAAAATTATTTTCAATCTTGTACTTAAAGTTAATTAATATTAATGGATATATTAAATAAATAAAAAATAAAAATTTTATCAAAATATAAATAAATATATTGTAACAAATATCTAATAAATAATTATTTCAGTCAATAGTAAATAAATAAATATATATGAATATATTGTTTTTTGTTAAACGAGCTCATGCCTAATCTTTATTAAGTTCCAAATTTCATTTATACAATTGCGCAGTGCACATGTACAGGGGTGTATATTTGGGGGTAAATAAAGAATTTGATAAGCTAAAGCTACTTTGAGGCTTATTGTCCTCTTTTTTCAAAGAAGTTCACATCTTATTGAGCATGCGGTGTTATTAAAATTAAAAAGAAAATGAAAAGAAGGGACCAGTCATGTGCTGTTATAACAAGGTAGCTGTGATGTTTCTCAGCATATGTCGGTTCTGTTTGAATTCCTCTTTTGATGAAGGACTGGGAGGCTTTTCCTGAGTCTTTACAGAAATAAGGTAGAGATGAAAAGGAAGACTTTACGGTTTTAAGACTTGTGGGGAGTGAGTAACCAAGAAGGTCCAGGTGATATATTGGTATCTGCATGAACGATTTGAAGTCTCCCAGTATATCTTTAATTAAACCCATTTCTATCTGAATATGAGTATACTTACCTATCTGTGCAACGTATTTCAGATTTAATTCCTTCTATAAGGACTGCACCTAGCCTCGTAGTTAGTATATCCTGCTAGTGGCCATTGGTATTAGAGATTGTCAAGGATCTCCCAGATTATCCGGCTGGCTCGCATGTTACTGCTGACGTTTTTGATCTCGAGTTTCGATTGATGTGACAGTGTTAACCTTTCAATCTTCCAGCTTGGGATTTTTTGGAGAT